AATTTCATACCGCGGATGATTATTTATCATACCACCCACCTTCCTGGATTTTGCCCCAGACAGCTTTCTCCTGTTTCCGGAGTTGAAACTACACCTAACCGGGAGATTTTCGTCCATTAAAATAATTCAGGAAAAATCGCCGGTAATCCTTGGCATGTTTACAAATAAAGAAAGAATTCCAGAGGACATGTCTAGTGCGACACGAGCGGTGGACGGAGCGATGGACTAATAAGTGTATATACTCACATGGATATTACACTACCATGGAAATCGTATGTCGCATTCGTGGAAGAACAAGTATACTTCTATAGAAGAATGTGTGCTATGTGTTTGATTGAATTTATTTTCGAATTCCAGATAGATCACAAAAAATATTGATATTGCGGTGATGATAGTCTTTTCTTTTTAACTTTATCTTTAATGATCGACAAAAGGGAAAGAAAAGTTTAATGATACTTAAGGAACATTCCGAACGATCAACTGCTTTTATTTCCACTAAATTTAAGTTTATAACAGCTCATAAATGCGAGCGTGTCTGTTAATGTGCCATGGATCTAAAATGGCACATTTTGGATAAACTGAACATTTAACGATTAAGAAACAGGACATACTAAAGGACGGAGCTTCTTCGATCACGTTTTTCATGAAAAGATCAAGAAGGCTAGGGGCTGGATGAGTAACTTATTGCGAAGAAGGGATTTAAAAGAATTACTATAATAACGGATAAAAAAAATAGCAATGGTTCATAGGATTTGTAGATTTAGAAAAAGCTTTTGATAATGTTAAATGGGACAAGATGTTAAATATACTTAAAAATGTAGGGATGAGTTACAAAGATAGAAGAGTGATATTTAGTTTGTATAAAGAGCAACAGGCAGTAATAGAGCTAGGGATGCAACGTAAAGAAGTAAATATTAGGAAGGGAGTCAGACAGGGATGCACACTGTCACCGCTATTTTTTAATCTATACATCGAAGACGCGATCAACATCATTAAAGACAGTACAAGTGTAGGGATAGATATACAGGGGCAAAAGATTAGTATGCTTAGATTTGCAGATGATATAGCATTATTAGCATCTAGCAAGGAGGACCAAGAGATAGCTTTAAATAAAATGGAAGCGCTACTGACAGATCAGTACTGTATGAAAATAAATAAAAGTAAAACTAATATACTGGTATGCAGGGAAATAAAAAGTAGGGAAAGAGCGAATATAAAGATAGGAGACAAAAAATTAGAAGAAGTGGCTGATTTTAGATATCTAGGAAGTCAGATAAGTCAGGACGGAAGGAGTAGTGCAGGGTCGTGTCGCCTTTAATAAAAAGAAGTCACTTCTGTGCTCGCGAACGGTTAATTTAGAAATTCGAAAAAGGTTGTTAAAGGTGTATGTTTGGGGCGCGGCGTTGTACGGGTGCGAAACGTGGACAGTGGGCGCGGCGGAAAAGAAAAAGTTAGAAGGTTTCGAAATGTGGTGTTACAGGCGAATGAAGAGGATAACGTGGGTAGAAAAGGTTAGAAATGAAGAGGTATTAGAAAGAATAGGAGAACAGAGGACTCTATGGAAGTCAATAAAATATAGGCGAGATAGGTTGGTAGGACACCTCAGGCATAAAGGGCTGGTCAGATACATATTAGGGGCAGAAACAGGAGTTAGGAGGGGTAGAGGTAGACCTAGGTTAGATTACTGTTCGCAAATAGTTAAGGATGTGGGCTGTTCTAGCTTTAGGGAAATGCGAAATTTAGCTTAGGATAGGAAAGAGTGGAGGTCCGTGACCAACCAGTCTTACGACTAACGACCCTATGATGATGATGGTTCAAAGACAACCTGGTGACGCTGTATCCAATACTAGAATTGGAAGTTTTTAGACGTTGCGCTCAACAAATATTAAAAGTTATCTCTTTTAACTCGTGAGGTCGTCAGTTTGGTGGAAACATACATAGGAGGGATGAATACGTGGCAAATGTCTTTGAATAATTGATCCACATGCAATCTTTCAGTAATGGCCCATTTGAAATGGTCGTTGTCAGTCTACGTTAAATGATAATCGATGAAATTGCAGTGAATGCTTTGAAATTTATTAGAAAGCCAACTCACGGAAATTCTCGTCCAGTGACTTGAAAAAGTTGAACAACTGGAAGACAGGTCACGGCAGTTATACCAACTTTTGAACGTTGGCGTTCCATTGTTTTTACATTCAGTTAATTCACTGTTTGATCGATTTGATCTGAGTAAGATATGATTAGAAACCGATGAGGTATTTGACTATTTAAAATCACCCACACCATTCGGTTTGCACTAAACTGATATTGAGTATAGTACAGCTTTCCATGTCTTTTACAAAAGACCATGCATTTCTTTCGGCTGCAACCTTTTTGTACCACCCGTTCCTTTTCCTTTTGCAGTTTTACTTCAGTGTTTCTTGTAATTTCTGGCTCGGTGAGGATATCATAATTGAGTCAGCGGCAGGTTCTGAAGTTCTAAAGGTTTAGACCATTGCTTAGCATTCGGGAGGACCTAGTTCGATTCTGAGGTCATTTGCTCTGGTCCAAGTTTTTCTGTGCTTTCCTTGGACCTCTTAGGCAAATGCAAGGAGAGCAATATTCCTCACATAATCATTCACTCTTTTCTGTCTTCAACCACCACTTACCCATTCCCAGGATTCCTAAAAGGAGGCTAAAGAGGGCCTTCTCTATCCTCCAGTGTAGTCCTGGGGGACTGTTCCATCACCAGTATTGGTAGCTGGTGGAATTGAAACACTGAATCCAGTAGGATTCCACCGATGCGAAGTTGTGCAGGGTCGTTTACTGTCTCGTTTCCTCTGAAGGCACTGGAAGTGGGAAAGCTTTCTTATGGTTGCTAAGCTGTTGAGGGCTTGGTGATAGTTTCATAAATGTTTAAAGGATGAACCATAAGCCATAAGTTGAGATTTTTTCATATTGTCATATATTTATAATAAATTAGATATATGGAGATGAAAAATTAGAAGTGGCTGATTTCTAGTATCTAGGAAGTCAGATACCTAAGTCAGTATGGAACCAGATGCAGAGAAATGAAAGAAAGGTTGGTGCACGGTCGAGTCGCTCTCAACAAAAATATTGTTGAAGGTGTATGTCTGGAATGTGGCGCCGCTGTACGGGTGTGGGAAATATAGACGATGGTCGCGGCGGAAAAGAAAATGTTAGAAGCATTTGAAATGTGGTGCTAAAGGCTACCGTGGATAGAGAAGGTTTGAAAAGAGGAGGTATTAGAAAGAATTGGAGAACGGAGAACTCTAAAGAAGTCAATAAAAAATAGGCGAGATTGGTTGATAGGACACCTTCTTAGGCATGAAGGAGACATATTAGGACCAGAAACAAGAATTAAAAGAAGAAGAGGTAGACCTAGGTTAGATTACTGTTCGCAAATAGTTAAGGATGTGGGTTGTTTTTGTTTTAGGGCTGACGACTTTATAATGATGATGTGTTTTTGCTGTTTTTTATTTAATTTTGTATAACATATGATCTATAAAACAGGTTTCTTTAATTTTATTATTACAGGGACATTGAAACATCAGTTTGTTCTAGTACCACCCTGATTGTAGCATGCTACGTTGTGACATTACCATGTCGTAATAAAAGTGAATAATATTCCTTTTATGTATTGCATTTTAAATCACTGGCTAACGTTCTAGAATGCTGTCGCTAATTCCATTAAAATTCGTTTTAATAACATGTCATTAATGGAGATTGCCGTAGCTATTTCAAAGTAATTGGAAATCCGGGAATTTTAAATTCGCGCTAAATCCGATGACGTTCGTGTTGTACCTAAATTATTATGGGGCTTGGAATTGAAATGGCGCACTTTATGCCCTTCTGCCGTGCCATGAACTTTATTTACATAGTTGCCTGCCTGCCTGCAGCGAACGTCTATTATACTGGCATTGTTGCTGTTGTTGTTTAAAATTAGTCGGTGGGTAATTGTAAAGTTTATCGATTTCCGGCTCCCATTATACGGGTACCCTTATCCCTTTTCGTTCCTATCGTAAAGGGCTGCCTGAGCTGCTGAACAATCGTTTTGTTTTATAAAAGTTATGATACTCATTAGTTGTTTACTATCAATAACTTCCAAGTGACACAGAAGATTATCAAACTTTACTACAATTTAAAATAAAACTGTTACATCTGACAATGTCAATGTTATGACGACGCTTGTACATATAAATGATGGGCAGTAGATGGCGCCACACTTTCCATACCTTGATATTATATCAAGATGTATAAAACAAGGCCAATAAACTGATTAAAATAAATAAATAAATAATATTATATCAAGAACAGGCTCCGTTTGGTTAGTGGTTTATCGAAATTGCATGTGGTGTGCTGATTACAACTAAATATGTACAAAGAACGTTCATGGTGACGTCAAAACTGTTCGACGTTTCGTCTTCTATTACAAGAGACACGTTCAGGAAATTTTGTGTTGTCGATGCAGGATCTCCAAAGCTGCTGCTGTCTCTTGTGATATGAGACGAAACGTTGAACCCTTTGGCGTTCGTCAGTAAAACACGGTTAGAATCCGGAAATTGAGTTTCTTCAAATAGTTACACCCTTATGTAACCATAACGCCCATCTGGACTTATTGGGAGATAGACTGGTGGAATATCTTCTCGTACATGAAGACCTATTTTCAGGCTGAAGACCTGATGATGATGATGATGATGATGATGATGATGATGATGATAAACTGCAACAAACAGTCCTACATTGAAATGATTTGCTGTTGTTGTTAATCATCATCATCAGAATTATCATATAATAATGATGCAAATTACCAGCGCTACAATGGTGTTGATTTTGGTCTTTTGTTTGCTCGTCACTGAACTTCCATAACTTCATTTTGTCTACCTTATCTCGATCTGGCAGTCTGGCTGTGTAATTCCACCCCTTAATTTGATGTTTAATGTAGAAAAAAAAAAAAGGAATGACGTATAGGTTAATGTTTGTTTTTTCTTTTGTTACAGATAAGCCGGTTAAAGTTCCGCCTTTGACGGAGTTGGCAGCGAAATGCGTCGCGTCCCATATTCCGTTCGAGCTCGTGGAACGGGTGTATCCGCCCGTTCCGGAGCAACTTCAGCTCCGGATCGCTTTCTGGAGCTTTCCGGACAACGAGGAGGATATCCGGTTATATTCGTGCCTGGCGAACGGTTCTGCGGATGAGTTCTCGCGGGGCGAGAGTCTGCATCGGAGTCACAGCGTCAAAGATCCGTTACAAATTGGTAAGTCCATACGCCTACGAAAGCGTCATTTATTCAAAATGTGTGGATTAACGAATGGAGCCAAAAGTGAAGATGCTATAAAATTATTGAATGATTATGTTGACGTCATCGATATAATGGTCTCTACAAACCGATCCAGAATGTAATGGCAAAAACCAGAAACAAAATGATATTTTTTTATAACTAGTACTTGTATTGAGCCTTTTAAATCAAGTAATAAGTATATCTATACAAGGTCTGTTCAAAAAGTGTCGGGAATGTGAATTTCCGCGGGTTAAGTATATCCCATTTTCGATTTTTTTGTGGCGTTATGTTGGTAGTCATGTCTCTCACTTATACCGACAAGTTCGGCCAAATTGAATGTTCAGTTAATTTTTGACAGTTGCTTTGCTTCCACGTGTTTTGGCTAGTCTTCGATTTTTGCCTATTTCAAAAAATACATCAAAGAATCTATATCAAATTTTTTGTGGAAAACAAAATAAATGCGCGGACGCATTCCGAATGTTAACTGTGACATATGGTGAGGCTACCTTGGACCGAAGCAACGTTGATCGGTTGTACAAAATGTTCTAAGAGGGCCGAGAAGATGTGAACTACGAAAAACGTACCGGACGCACGAACACGTCAACAACAGACGAAAACATTGATGAAGTGAAGAAAATAGTATTGGTCAATCGTCGAATCACTGTTAGAAAAGTTGCTGAGAACCTAAACATATCGATTGGCTTCTGCCATTCGATTTTTTCCAATGATTTGGGCAAGAGACGAGTCGCCGCGAAATTCGTACCAAAATTGCTCAATTTCGACTAAACAGCATTGCATTAACATTGCTAAGGAGCTGTTGGACTCTGTCCGCAACGATCCTTATTTGCTCTAGAGGGTCATAACTGGTGACGAATCAAATGTTTATGGTTATGGCTTGGAAACCAAGGCTCAATCATCCCAATGGAAGCTGCAGCACGAGGCAAGACGTAAAAAAGGGCCCCAAGTCGAATGTGAAGGTTTTGCTTAGTTTTCTTCGATTGCAGGGGCGTGGTGCATCATGAGTTCTTGCCACAGGGTAGAACGGTCAATAAGGGTTATTACCAGCAAGTTATACGCAATTTGCGCAAAGCAATCCGCGAGAAACGTCGGGATTTGTGGAAGAACAATTGCTTTTGCACCATGATAACGTTCGTGTTCATACATCGTTGCTTTTGCGCGAATTTTTGGCCAAAGACAACACATTAATAATACCGCAGCCACCGTATTCCCCAGATGTGACAACTTTGACTTTCTTGTTCCCGAAACTGAAGAGGCCCATAAAAGGACGACGCTACGCTACTTTTGAGGAGATAATGACGGCATCGAAGGAGGAGCTAATGAATATCTCAAAAAATTATTTTTTGAAGTGTTTCGAGGGTTGAAAAAAAAAGTTAGCACAAGTGTATAATATCTGGTGGGGATTAGTTTGAAGGGGACAGAAATAGATGTTCGTGAATAAATAAACAATTTTTGAAAAAACAAAATTCGCGATACTTTTTGAGCAGACCTTGTACATACATATTGATGAAAGGTATTCGTATTGGCACTGAGTTGGTCAAAAACATTTTTTGCCATTTACATGAACAACTTTTTTAACAGTTGACGATCTTGAAATTTCGTTTGATTGTTCTATTTCATGTACTTTAACTTCATCTTGAAAATTGAATGATGAAGAAGGTGCAAGTAGATGGACATGACTGCGACATCTCACTGCGTTCGTGTTGTCTTTTCTTACCTAAGCAATCAAATAAAACCATCCTTTTGTTAGGTTATGTCATGTCATGTTTCTCTCAATGACTAATTGTAAGGGTTTGTATTCTGAAATGAAATTGTATGATTTTTGATATTTGTTGGACAAGCAGTTTCAAAATAAAAATTAATAACTTTTTCCGGTGGGTAATCCGAAAGTAACTACTACTTATTCTTTTGTCTTATTAAAGAATTTTTGCGAAAAATCACGGGATTTTAATCTCATTACAATGTTTGGCTTTCTTTTTATCTTTATATTTTTCTTCTGCTTCCTGAAGTAATGAAGGGAATGAAAAGAATAAGCGCACGCACAAAACACAAAAATTGTTAGAACATTCTTCGTCAGTCCTGCTCCGTCAAAAATTTAAATTAAATTAATTTACGTAAAATCTAATTTTGTCGGTGAAATTGANGAAACGTTGCTCTTATTGAATGGAATAAATACTAGAAAAAACAACTAGTCGGTCTATTGGCAAAGTTAAATTCATATAAAAATTTAAATAAATTAAATTAAATTAAAAACGAATGATCAAAATTTTAAATAAATACACAAAAGTATTTTAAGTTTGTATTAAAGTTGCAAAATGGTTAAACTTGTGGAAATAATGTATGTTTTTTGTTTTATAATGATAATTACATTATTTTAGTAATAAACTCAAAAATAAACACTTTATTTGTAAAAGATAAAATTAAAGTATTGGAGTGTTTGCAATTTGTTTGGTTAAATTTGTTTTTTATACGAATTCTCGTTCTGTTGTTTTTAATGAGTATGATAGTTATTTTTTTGTGAGTGCCCTAAAAGCAAACATTTTAGCAGAAGGCAAGGCCAGTAAACGTTTCACAATATGGCTTATAACCAGCGCTTTTCGTGCCTTCTTTATGGCCAAAATAAACGGGCAAAGAAAAGTGCGAGCACTGGCGGACGTCAAGGAAAATCAGCGGGCGTTTGTGCAAGTTTGTCAAAGTAATTCAAGTCGTGTTTACATTTCACTGCTTTTTCGTTTCGCGTGGTGTGAATGGCAGGGAATTTTAGGGCATGACCTTTATGCTTAGGTCACAAATTAATGAAAAGTCAAAAACGTTTGTTTGCCATAGCTAGTAGAAGTTTTGGCGAAATATTTAATTTAGAGATGTCCTATTTTGTTACAAAATTTGAAGAAAGCGGTTATAGTACAGTCATTTGGTTCGAAAAATGTAACCACTAGTTTTGCCTGGACAGTTTTCCGGGAGTTTTGAAAATTGGTAAAATAGGATCGTAAATTACGATTAATGTCTTATGATTTCACTCTGACGTTGCTACGAATTCGTCACACGACGCCCTATCGCGTTTATATGAAACAAATTTAAATTGACTTAAACTATAAACTATAAATAATTTGAAAAGGAGAACCGACTCATTTTCATCAAAACACGTGTCACCTAAAAACGCCCAGCCGGGTTTATTTCAAAAAAAAAAAAATTTGACACATTTCA